AATCATTCTAAGCAACATATGGCAATCTGCGGTCTTTCCTTGCACTTAGGTGGCACGGAAAGCCGTAAAAATCTTGAACAAAAGCTCATCTTTCAAACCGGCAGTCTAAATCCCACAGGGATCAATGAACGCTTTTCATTCCACTAATTTATTCATGTTTTTCTCGTTGCCATGCACCCACCAATAACGTAGCTCCATTTTCTGCCTTTAAAAGCACACACAACCCACAATTCCTCTATTCGCTCCGACGAAGGGCTAACGCTCGAAACGTCAGCTTTTGTAATCATTACGGTGGCCAATTTACCATTTCAACTTTGTTGATATATCCAAATTATTTCGTTACTCCCACCGACGCAGCCCCAAACAGTTTCTTTCGAAACTATCAGCCTTTATTCATTTGTGGTTTAAATCACGACAAGCTAACACTTCAAATCATTGTGAGGAATTAATGTCAATCACGAGTTGTGTTAATTAAATTATATCTGTCATCATAGGCAACGCCTATTTACTAAACGAAACATTAGCTATGCTATCCTGCAGCTGATCCGTAAACCATCTTTGTATTTACTGATCTATTTGACATCCTTGTATTTTTGGTGGTGACGGCCGCCCATAGACTTGGGCTGCGCGTGGGTTCACCTTCGAGAGGGATTATATCATTCACGCGTCACGAGTGTCGCTCGCGAGAGGCGTTGTAATTAGCCTTTCTGATAGATTATCTCCGCTTCCACGAGAAGACATGAAATATTCTGTTTGCCGTGTAATTATTAGTTTTTTTTTTTTTTTTAAATCAAAGACATTGTAAAACTCACTCCTATTGATAATTAAGCACGGAATGCTAAGATCACCGGCCTGCACGTGGACAAAGCGAACTCATCAACTTTGACTCCCCAAATAAAAATGAGACAGGTTTTCTCTATGTAAATTGTTTTTCTCTCAAAAATTAAAAGGGAAAGAGAAAGTAATAAAGTTAGGAGCAACCTTAGTGCTGTTGGTAAGGAGAAAATAGGTCTCTCGTGAGAAGTAAACTGATCGCCATTACTGTGAAACTAGTTCTTTATCTCAGAGTTGATAATTTAGTGGTACACTTATAGCTCTATGGAAATAAAATTTATTTTTGCCACCATATTCAACACCGAGCTCTTCTTGTTTTATTTGTTAGCAGAGGTGGGATAATCAACATTCTTGTATGTCATTTTACCAATAATCAAATATCATTTTTGTTGATTGATCGATCAAACAATTTACTATGTACTTATCATTCTGAATTTTAATTGGTCTTTTCACCAGCCTGGAACAATACCTAGCTTATATTTCTCCACTTAAAACCTTTTTCTCACTCTCTTTTTCTTCAGAATCCAAGTGACGAAGGCTTAGTCGAGAGAATGATTACGACCTTCGGTGGATGTGCACGCTTGATTTTTTGTGCAATGTTTGCAGCAGCTTGTTTATATTCAGCAAGTGAAGGTAACAAATTCTATCTTCATTCTTGCGAATCAGTGGTTCATCATATAAAAAAATGCCGTCACGTTTGTTCGAAGTGATTTTTCAATGGTGCTTCTTGCTTGATTAGGAAGTCTCTTTTCTGGACACTCAGTCATCGATTGTAAAAATAACTTTCTTATCCGTTCAACTAGTGAGCTTTCATCACTGTCTATCTAGCACATCAGAGGAGAAAAAACTCCATGAACTCCGCTGACGTTTTTCATTCCTTTTATCTGACTCATATCTCGGCAACCAACGACAACCTATCATGAACGGCAACTTGTCAACGGCAACGTACCAACAGCAACTGAACGTACCAGCGGCAACGTACTTGTTCTCTAAGTTAACAGGGAAAGAATTGCATTCGTTCTCCCAGTTCTTAGTCTTTTTTGTTTTGTTTTGCTTTATTTTTTTTTTCTTTTTAATATTCTTAATTTGTTGACCGACTTATGAAATGATACCTTTCTCCTACCTTGTCTTGTCCGCTAGTCTTGTAACACAAAATATTGCAGGTCAAGGAGAATTTGTAGCTAATTCAGATAGGTAGGCAAGCCGACTATCCTTTTTATCTTCAGAGCCGCGATAACTTTATATGCTTGTTTGTCGAAGATTTCAACGTCATGTTCCGTTTTTTTCGCAGGAGCTGCAACGTGCTTTACCTGCGACTCGCGAAACGACAAAACGTGTGCACCAGAATCACTGGATAAATCGAAGCAGACACGGTGTCGCAGTGGAGAGTTAACCTGTGCAGTGATCAAAATCGAGCCCTACTCACCCGATGGTAACACATCCAACCATCAGTTCGTGCGATTCTGCAAAAGCGAGTGTGAAAACGTTACTCTCACATTAACTGTTAAAACAAAACACTGTACTCTTTGCTGTCAAACTGACCTCTGTAATGACTTCTCTTTCGATCCTTGTAACCCCCCGTCTAAGACAGCGCACCTAGGGCACGGAACTTTAGTCACAGCACTTCTGTGTGGTTTGGCAGTACTTGGAACAATTTACTTCCGGTAATGCCTGGCTTGGGTATTATTTTCCAACAAGAGAACATACACTAGCATCATAGGACCAGAACACCGAAACCAGATTATAAGATAATGAAATAATTTGAATATATCAACAAAGTTGAAATGGTAAATTGACCACCGTTACGGTTATAAAAGCTGACGTTGCGAGCGTTAGCGTGGGGAAGGATCAGTGCATTTTTAGACCCATGCATGCACCCATTCCCCTTGAATCATGCTTTTGATTTAAACAACGCATGGTGCCATATTTTTATGATGGGACAGTTATTTTGCCGTACTGGACGGATGAGGAGCTACTCTCTTACATGAAGCACTATAGCTAACGGAGAAATCCTAAGAAAAACAAAGCATATGATGCACGATCCTCGCAGTAGATAGCGCTATTTAAGCAATAGCGAAAATCAGACCTGAAAAAAATCAGGCCTGTACGGGACTCGAACCACTGACCTCTGCGATACTAGTGCAGCGCTCCACCAACTGAGCTAACAAGCCAACTGGGAGCATGCCGTTAAGTTAATTCGTAATAAACCCGTGAAAGTGATAAATGAGATGCAATGAATATATGAAGATCATATATTTTGAACTGCGGTATTAGATACGTATGATGCACGATCCTCGCAGTAGATAGCGCTATTTAAGCAATAGCGAAAATCAGACCTGAAAAAAATCAGGCCTGTACGGGACTCGAACCACTGACCTCTGCGATACTAGTGCAGCGCTCTACCAATTGAGCTAACAAGCCAACTGGGAGCAGGCCGTTAAGTTGATTCGTAATAAACCCGTGAAAGTGATAAATGAGATACAATGAATATATGAAGTTCATATATTTTGAACTGCGGTATTAGATACGTATGATGCACGATCCTCGCAGTAGATAGCGCTATTTAAGCAATAGCGAAAATCAGACCTGAAAAAAATCAGGCCTGTACGGGACTCGAACCACTGACCTCTGCGATACTAGTGCAGCGCTCTACCAATTGAGCTAACAAGCCAACTGGGAGCAGGCCGTTAAGTTGATTCGTAATAAACCCGTGAAAGTGATAAATGAGATACAATGAATATATGAAGTTCATATATTTATANAAAAAAAAAAAAGACGAAGAAGAAGACGAAGAAGAAGCAGAAGCAGCAGCTTAATCTAAATTGGACTTGAAACAACTAAACAAAATTTGGTCTAAAAAAATATTCATTTGGAGCTTAGTTGGAACAATGAATTTATTCATGCTCTTCGTATTTTGTTTTAATGAAAAACATCCTATTTACCAATGTCAATGGACAATATGTCAAATTGGAATCAACGGGTTTCTTTTTCCTTTAGAACAGTGACAGCGTCATAGGCTTTTGCCGAAGATGAGCATAAACTATAAACAGTAAATCTGTCAAAAGTTCACTTAAAATAAATTGGCCTCAATCCGTGTTTACGGTGAGCGTATTCGCGTTCTGAACAGCCAGGCTTTGGTTAGTTATAATTCATATGGACAAGAAAAAATAAAATCGTTTAAAGTCCAGATCGAAGTCTGGCAGAGTTAAGCATTTTCTCCAAAGCCGATTAATTCTTTACCTCGCAAGGCAGTCAAAATTGTTATCATTTCAACAACAACAACAACAACCTTTATTTATGTGTCAAATCTAAAATAGCAGTTATACAACCACTAACTGGGGACACTAAATACTACCTAAAAATTTAAGAAATTTAAAAATAAAACAATATACATTTCTCCTTAAGAGCATAACATTTTCGTGCACTAAACGCTTTTCTTACTTTATTGAAGCCGTTGAGCTATCTCTAACTGTTCTTTTCACGGAGTAATTGTTATCCAGTCAATAAATATCAGACAGAACCGGCTCTACACTTCAACCTTGTCTGCAAAGGTGGTTCATCAAGCTAAAACGAACAACTTAGTCTATCATGAGCGATTGAAATTATGCCTTCAACTTCTCCCTGTCACTCCAAATGCATATTTTCATGCAAAAAGGGGGGTACAAGGTATCGTTTCAGTACTTATCTGCCTTTGCTCTTTAAAGCTAGTACCCTAATTTGGCGACATAATGCATTTGTAGTCCATTAACAGGATTATCCGAAGCTGTCACACTGACACGTCTTTGACGTCACAAACACCTTTCAATTGAAAATGCTCAGTAACCTTTCCTGACAGCAGTAAAGAGATCGCTTGAGCCAAATCGTCGACACGCGACAGGAGAACGCGCACGGGAAGATAGCCAAGTTCACTCCTACTGAAATTTTCACGGTTGGTAAAGTGATATAGTTCATGCTGCAAATATCACCAGCTATATCAAAGAAAATACCGTAGTTAAATTTCTAAACAGTGTAGCAGGTGATTCTTTTGAGTAAATATATATTTCTCGTTCCAGTTTTACATACTCTGCTTAAGCGAAAAAAAAAAGAAAGAAATATGCGATATTTTTTTCATCAAGTTTGCATTTTAAACGGGGAGTTTACTATAGCACTATTACCGTGATGATGTTTCTATCAGTTATCCGATTTCTTCTGATCTCTTTCTTCCCCAGCTTTCTGTCTCCTCAGACATCCTCTAAACATGTGATTATATTTTTTGGCGGCATTTGCATATCCGCATTTGAAGACGACTCACTGTTTACTTTTCAAAGACCTGCTCTCGTTTCAAAATAGCGTTTTAAAAATTCTATAAAAGCTTCAGTCAATTTTAGTAGAATTTAAAATCTAGTTTAAAACTTTCCCCGGACAATAACACAGATATTGATCGTCTGAGTGTGCCTGTCCTGCAGGACCTTATTTACTTGCGCACGAAATTTTCGCATCAGGTTCACAAAGCGATTAAAAGTCGTTATTTTGCCAACAGTATGTATTCTGAAATCATATTTATTTTGCCTCCTTTCCTATATAATCGAATATTTCCTTTCATTAAAGGGCCTCATCACAGAAATATAACAACAACGTAAAAGTGAACAAAAGGGTACGGAACATGCATGCAATTTATAATTTTACATTTCATTTTAATTTAGATTTTGCTTCTCTTTTGATGCTATAGATTCGAAGATATATAAAGCAGAAGTGCACGGCTGCACCATCATTTGTTAGTTTTCATGCTCACTCCAAACTTTTCCGATGTATTATTGTTAGTTGCGCTCTTCGCCAACTTATTGACGATAGAAGGTAATTAATATTCTCTTTTATACTTTTTATTCTCTCCCAATGAACTTATACTTATTTAGGAGCATACAAGGGCTAAGATACGATGAGTAATTCTCTCCCTGCATGGGTAAGCGTTAGTAACTGCCTGTTTGATAAAAGTCCCATGCGGCAGAACTCGGATTTTGAGGACGCGCACACTGTATCAACTGAGCCCACCATTCAAAATACGTCGGCGACTTGGGCCATTCACCTCTTTTTACACCATTCGTTTCCTGTATTGCAGTTGGATAAGCAATGTTGGAAGTGTCCTGAGGTAATTGACATGAGAAAGAAAGTAAGTTAGTGAGAACTATATATACTTTGAATTTTGATTTAAAATCTGTTTTGTAGGCCTAATAAAGTGTCAGTTTTGTGACTCTAAGGATGGGCCCTGTGACACAGACACATTTGAAGGAACAAAGCCACGAACATGTACCAGATGGTACCAGCACTGCTCCGTTTATCGAAGGGTCTTGTCGAATGGAACAACGGCACATGTTGTAAGAGGCTGTGACAGAGATTGCAACGAACCCTCTATGAAGTGGACATTGGGCAGATACCAAAAAACAACCCTCTGCAAATACTGTTGCAGTAGCGACATGTGTAATGCAGTGATAGGCGACCCGTGTAACAAATCGTTTCTGTTGGTGGCTAATGGCATAATATGGCTTCCGGCAGTGGTTATCCTAGAAATTTTGATATATTCTCCCCCATGAGTGAACAATACGTATATTCTCCTTCAATACCGATACATCGACAATTTCTTAGGAAACAGGTGCTGAAAATAAAGAGGAATAACAACTGAGGATAAGCTTTAGATCCTTAGGACGGGGGGCGGATCTTGGGGGAGGGCGCAGGGGATGCGCACCCCCCACCCCTGAGATGACCTGTGGCTTTCTAATACAAGTGGTATTCTGCTATTACAATTTGTTTACGTCCGGACAATTTGTTTACGTCCGGTCACCAACCAGTTACGCCATTCTTTAGAGGTGCACCCCCACCTCAAAAATTCCTGGATCCGCCCATGCAGGAGCAACTGTACTGCACACCGTAAGGACAACAGACTGCACGCCCTAATAGTGAAAGGGCTAATTGATGACATATAAACTCGAGATCCACTCTAGCAAATTAACAATAAGCCACGAAAGTTTCCTTATGATTTTCTCGGAAGTACTTGCCGAGATTTTTCAGGCCCTGTACTTTGGTATTGTATCTTCATGTACTGAGCTGGTACATCACCACCTGATATCAATGGCTCATGCCTGACCCTTTTCTTTTTAAATATGTCACGATTTATAAATCACTCTTGTTCCTTAACTCATACTCTCTTGTTAGGTGGCGTTTCTATCTTTTCGTATCAAGAAATTATACTTTGTTTGTTATTATCACTATTATCTTTTGTTTTTTAAGCCTAAGGTGAACTTTGAGTGCTGCAAAAAAAATATATATTGCATACCGAGACTTAGCTCTCTCATTTTCTCTAAAGAAAAATCCAAAGATAAGATATACCTAAAACTTATAATAATTATCTCAGAACCACGGTAAGTTTATCACTTTTGTAAGGATCTTCATAGTTCATGATTAGCTGATTTCGGTTCTGTAATGAATCCCTTTCAAATGAAAGCGAGAGGTAACTAATTCTTATGAACTAACGATCCCATAACATTTTGCAAGCCAAGGATGTTCTATTTCTTCCAATGCAAATAGCCTACTTGGTTGGTAGTTTTATGTCCATCTCACCGTTCAAGTATGCGCGTTTTCCAATTTCGTCCCAAACCTCCACTGGCCTCACCGCTCATTGTCTTAGTGTGTATGTTGTAGTTCAATTTTACACTTGGTTCGAATTTTATTTTCGTTTGTTCTCGGTCATGTTAATGTATGATAATGAGTTTGAAACAAAGGAAAGTACAATTTGAACCAAGGATAAAATTGAACTACAACATATACAAAACCGTGAGCCTTGCAGGCTATAACTGGAAGTGTTTAGATATATCCTCGCGATAACGAAAGCTTCAGCTTCACTGATAATCGAAGGAAAATGCGATGTAACTGTGGAATTGTGATACTGCGGTGAAACTGATTCGGCCAATGAGATTTATCACTTTCCTATGGAACCGGGTGGGCGGGAGAGGTGATTGAAAGGGTACCGGTCCATTGAATGGACGCGTTTGTGTTAAAAGAGACCCTCATTGAAGGACTAGGGCTAGTGTGCAAAAGGCATTGGAAACGAATTGTTTATCCCGCCGCGCCAGGAGTATAGTAGTTATTAGGAAAATGTCGAGAAAATCGCTCGCATTTGTCACAGGAAATCAAAACAAGCTAAAAGAGGTAAGAATTAACTTGTTTTTCAGATAAGCATTGTTCATTGAGTCGCAGCTGATTTTGATCAGTCACCTACAAAAACAGCGTTTTCAGGCAGAGTGAATGTTATGGATTTCGACTTCTTTATTCTGGTCCCATCTCCTCATTCACTTTTGATAACCTCGATCTAATAAGAAATTAAATGGAAGGAAAAACTTTCACTCTATGTCTCGAATTATGTCATGAAATGGATCGATCATCTTTGAATGTACGCGCGTTCATTACTTTGATCAGGGCGCTTTGATCGAACCACTACCGCCATCTTAAATCATAGCGTGACACTTCGGTCACGTTATCAGTACTGGATGGGAATCGAGGCTTAGCAAAGTTGGCTTCCTGCTCAATCGGAGAAATTTTTATTTTTTTACTGTAAATTATGGGTAACATTAGCGGCTGTTGCTCTGATTCTGGCTCGATTTGTGTCTCTTTCATTTCCCTAGGTGGTTGCTATCTTAGGGGACTCATTTCCATGGAAAGTGGAGTCAAGAAATATTGATTGTAAGTGCGGTTACATACCGATTTTAGCTACCTCTCTGCAAGATAGTACAGTATGTAAGTTAACGCCTTCTTTGTGGTTGACCACGTGTGTGACACTGTCGTGGGCTTGTTATTGTTGTTATAACAGTATTTTTATTCCTAACGTATCTTCTAACAACCAGAATATCACAAGAGAGGTATTTGTACAAGTAAACAATTTTCCTCAGTTCCTTATCTATGAATGGGATGAAGAGCTGTACTTCCTGGTATACTCACCTTAGAAATTTTTGAGAACCTGTTTCAAATCCAAACACTAGGGAAACAAACCCATGATCAGATGACCTCTCAGTATATTACTTTCAGTTAATAAAGATGATATTTTTTACAAAAGCCATATCCATACTCCTGTAGTGCCTGAATTTCAAGGTGAGCCGGATGAGATATCTGAGGAGAAATGCAAAGTCGCTGCCAAAGAGGTCTGAGACATATTTAACTATCTCACTCTTTTACTGAATAATAACAAGAATTATGTTAATATCAAATTGTGACATGAATTCTGTTATGCATAGTCACTGATATTAAATTCACCCAAATTTGGGATGATGATGAAATAATCTATATTAATTGTGAGTCCTTATTATATATGCCTTTTGCTAGGTTGGAGGCCCAGTGATAGTTGAAGACACATGTTTATGTTTTACAGCTTTGGGAGGTCTCCCAGGACCTTATGTGTGAGTATAATTATAGTGAGAGTACTTCTTTAATTTGTAAACTCTGATGACTTGAATGGATGATATAACTATCAGCAGGGAAATATGTGCCACAGATACAACAGTTGTGTTTGAGCTAAGATGATTATGCCATTTTCACATTTTTAACTGTTTTTGTGAGGACTAACCTTCTGTTTTCTGAGAAGTGCCAATTGATAAGGGGGACATTGTGTTTCAACTATGAAAAGGCAGTCAAACTCCTTCCAATTCTTATCATGGTAGGAAGGAGAAACCCTAAAGAAGAAATCCATTCGTTGATTGCCATTAGTTCTTACTGTTGAGCCTTTGTATGTGTATGGTTAAAGGGAAGGTGGAGTTTAGAAGACAATAACTTTTTATTTATTTATTTTTTTTGCCAATTAACTGCAAAAGGGAATGATGTCAAAATAATTGAACTATACCTTTCTCACTTTCTTTTAGGAAGTGGTTCTTAAAGAAATTAGGACCTGAAGGTACTGTTAACTTATTTCTATGAAATTAGTATAATGGTTGAACAATAAATGACACCCAAATTCCAATTAAAACTAGCAAGATATTAATTTTTATTTTTGTCAGAATGTTGTTATGTTAATAATACTATTGCTGTTATATTGAGAAAATTTTCAACGAAATATTGATGTAAAGATGCACAAGAGCAGTGGAAAAAGAAAACTTAACGTGAATAAGTATGCCGGAAAAGAGGCCACAACTGATTAAGCTTGGAAAGAGAGGCTGCAATAATTGTAAACATACTCTGGCAAATTGTTTTTTCCTTTTAAAAAAATTCTTCTCATGCCCCTTGCTGACATTCTTTTATGTTAGACCCTACTCTCCAGCATTCTTGCCAAAGGCCCAGCATTTAAACCAATGCATTGAAAGCAACTCTAAGATATGGATCAATCTAATACTATTTTTCATGTTAAATCGAGTTTAGGTCTACACAGACTTCTTACAGGATGGGAGGACAAATCGGCATATGCACTTTGTACCTTTGCATATTCAACAGGAAACCTCAAGGACCCTGTTTTACTGTTTAGGGGAAAGACAATGGTATGTCTTGATAACTGACTTCCTTGAAGTTTCTAGTTACATGTATTGGTGAATTATAGTGTACATGTTATTTCATTCACATAGGGCAAAATTGTAGAACCCAGAGGTCCAAGGAATTTTGGATGGGATCCATGTTTTCAACCAGATGGCTTTAATGAGACGTAAGGTTCAGTAATTAAATTCGCTCAGTGGTCAGGTGTCATCAGAAGTAGACACCCTTTAATTTAATGAAATTAAATATGAAATTATCTACATGTAGCTGAATGTGTGGATTTTTATATCCTGACTTTGCCAAGAGTAAATGTACATTTTTCATTTAATGGGGGATTTTTTTTTCTTGGACAATGTTCTTCTCAGGAAACTTCATGATTGCATTAATACAAGGTGGTTGCCTGGCCCTTTATGACCAACTAGAGTGTGTGCCCTTTTTTAATTATTTCAGGACTTGTGAGTTTTTTAAAAATGACAGTGCCACTTAAATTTTATGTTGTCATTTTACCTCCTCAAGTGTTTAATATGATGTGACTGGTTCCATTCAATTTAATTGTTTGCAATGAAAACCATAATTATTGTAAAAAAATTATGGGGATTTAAGAGCACCCTTTGTCAAAGAGCATACATGTATGCTTATTTGATTCTTCTTGTTCAGATATGCAGAAATGCCATCAGAAACCAAAAATGAAATTTCACACAGAGGTAAAGCTCTGAAGGCTTTAAAAGAATACTTTGGAGAAGCAGGTGGAGAACCAGAACATAAAAAAGCAAGGAACCTTGACAAGGAAACATGATTATGAGTAGTGTCTTAAAAACGACAGAATCATAGATCATGGAGAATTTGGTGTACATTTCATTATTATTTTTAGTGTACATTTGGTTTATTATTAATTAAATAATAAAAATAAATTATCTTCTAAGCCTATGGGAAAACAGTCTGTCACAATGTTGTTTACTTCCAACTTCTTCTAACTGTCTATATGAGCCTGAATTTCATACAGGAAATGTTGAGCTGGAGGAGCATAGTTCACCGTGAGCAAGGGTTTCATTAAGGGCCAGACACCGGGCAAATTGACCGGTTGTGTGAGGACGGTTTTGCCCACCTGATTTGACGGTCTGGAGGAAAGTTTATCTTATAAAGAAGTTCAGTTCAAAGAGTTTTGCCCGCCTGTGAAAACCAGTTGCCCTTCTGCAGAAAACATTAATGAAGCCCCTGCATGAGAAGTGACTGCTCAGTTGAAGACAGTCCTCAACAGGAGGTGGCCTTAGGACTAATGACAGTCACTGCCACTGGCTTTTAAAAGCCCCTTTCAAGACTACCCCACCTGGATGTAAAGATATAATTTTGGAGATGTCTTCTTGAACCCTTTCTGCTTTATCAACAGAAGTAGCTTGATCTTCATCAAAACATCCTTTAGAGTAACCCTCTCATTTCCCTTTCCAAACCCACTGACAATGCCAATCTTAAACCTCAGGTTGATTACATTCAAAGTGAATTTCCTCTTCTTAATTTTACTGCAAAAAATCCTTCAATTTATTTGTAATCACTTTCAACATTATTAATGTACACATTAGGTGATTTGAGATTCCTCTTGAGGAAATATTTTTCAGATAATTTGTTCAATTTCATTTTTTTCAAAAATAGCAAGGTAATTTCTTCAAGAGGCCCCTTAGCTTAAATATTTCTCAACATCACTAATTAACTTTTGCCACATATTGCATTATTTCATACTGTGAGGTTTGCAATAAAACGATAGACTTCTCTGATAAATGTTCTCATTTTTGCATTTTTGTTCTTGTAAATAATTTACTCACTGGGTCTATCTAAAGTAGTGTTCATAGAGATTAATAGAGAATTGTGACATTCCTTCTAATTAAATTATGAATAAAATAATTAAATTACTAAAAAATCCACCAGACAAGTATTTCATCCAGCAATAAAAATGCATTCATCTTTGAGATATCCAGGGCTCGACACTAACTTTTCAACTTACTTAAGCCAAGTGGTTTGTGACATCTTAGATGTTAGTAACGACAATTTCAGTTTGTTCACTAGCCAAACCGGCTAGTGGAGAAAAAAAAAAAACCACTAGTCTGTGTCTAGTTGGCTACCGTTAGTGTCAAGCCCTGATATCTATGTTAAAAAGTTAATTTCACCATTTTGGAACCCATCCACATCCAGTGCATAACTTAATGTCTTCATCATGAAGACTGTTACAGTTCTTTTGCCTTTCATTGACCTCAGCGGGGAGGTTTACATGAGTGGCATCACAGAATGGTGGATTCTTGGTGTGTTTACAGTTACAGATAGAGTAGATTCTTTGGGGATGATCTGGAACCTTCCATTTTAGGGACTTGAAACCAGTCTTTTTGTGAGCTCCTTAAAAAAAAAATATTTTGTAACAAATAAATAAAAATAAAATAGATGATGAAAATAAAAGATTGCACCATCAATGTTAATTCACTCCATTAGTTTAATTGCATGTCTCAACCCTCACTACTATGATCTCAATAGTAATTCTCCTAACTGTCTGCCATACAGTTCTTATAATGTCAAATTGGAGAATTTGGTGTTGGAACAACTAATGATCTCTTTATTTATATTTTTCTTTATTCAAAACACTTTTTCGCTTTAATTTGTATTAATATTGCTGGCAGAAATTCTGACCTGGTCACTCAAGGGAGTAAATGGTTTAAAGAACAAAAATTTGTTCACTTGAAGTCACTCAGTAATCATTAAGTAATGATCAGGTGGAGTTTTTCTTAGAAATTTAAGTGAGGATAAATGTAAATGAATGTAGAATGCTTCTCCAAACCCTAGCACCTTGCATTTTTTCAGAAAATATTTATTTTCCCTATTATGTTCTAGACTTGAATAACATAAATAGGTCTTAGAAAATTTGTCACGCCATACAGTTAAAAGTTTATCCAATTTCTGACCACAAGGCATAAACTGTTAAAATGATCTTGAATATTGCCTACATGTAGACCCATCAACAGTTGATAGCCTTCAAAAAGGAGTTTTGTTAAGCCCTGAACCGTCAGTTCCCTCTTTTGAACCAACTTACCATCGCACCACGGCTGCTTCTTGCTCAGACCACATGTACACCACTTCATGGTTTTTCCAGGTTCTAAGTCTTCCACATTGCAGGGTCCATACTTTTCATTAAAAGAAAGGTCCAAATAAATTTTTAGTTGAAAATATATGAAGCAGTAGTTCCCTTTTACAGAGAGATATTAGACTAGAAAGTTAAGTATACGTATATATTAAGTAGATTTTTATAAATGATGGATTATTGAACTAGTACCATTGCAACCGCTGGACAGAGGTTTGCATAGTTTGCCGTCTTCTTTTCCGTAGTGGAAGGAGCACCGTCAAAAGATAGCCGGTCCATTCTCAGAAACTAACTAGATCTTGACAGAGAAGAGAAAAAAAAAAAAAAAAAAAACTGACATAGAAATTCAGAGTTTTAGGGTTTTAAATTTGTTTTAAAACTCTGTGCAAGCCGGTACCAGTGCAAGCTTTGTAACCAGTCAAACCAGTCATTGCTTAGTTACCACGCCTTTCAAGGGATTTGTTTTAAAATGGCGGGAGAATCCGCGCAGTATATCTAGATAGAGGCCATTTGTTTTGTTCTCTACGTAACCAGCCACCGCAGTAAGCAAAGGTATCATTTATTTGCTACTTAAAAAACAAAAATTTGTGGTAGTTGTTGTCTTTAGTGGGCGATCTTAAACGTACAATCGATTTGGAGACGCACAGCGACTACGAATCAGCTGAATAATTTGCGAATCCAATGATAAATCTATTCCTGGTCCAAAAAAATCAGCTGTTTCTCTCTTTCAGCACGAAATAATGTTTTGGTGTTTTCAATAACATTACTTTACATCCTATTCTCTGCCTAATGCGCTTTGTATGTCTGCAATGAAACTTTGAGGTGAAAAAGTCATTTAGCAGCTAATTTGAAATGTCCTCGTTCTTCGACTGCAGGCAACCCTAGCCTGTCGGTCGATCGACGTAGTTGTGGGAATATATACGTGAAAATTTTAGTCAGTGAGAAAGGAAACAAACGAAATTAGGAATAAAATGACGGAATAGTCTGTTCGTCTGTCAAATCCAAGTTTGCGCGTGTTACTTGTTTAATTTTGTTACCAAAGCGGAAAATCATTGCTGCATGCATGTTGAGGCAATTTCTGTCATGAGCAGAGGGGATATAGGTCTACCTGTAGTGAACGTATTACTTGCCATGGGTGAGATAGAGATTGAAATATTGGGAATGATTTTGAATCTGACCTCTTGTATAGTTCAATCCAATTTAAACTTGGTCATTTCACAGGGATGTAGCTAAAGTTTTTAACAGGTGGGAATCTAGCAACGATAGGTGGGTATTTGAGTATTGGTATTTTTAATCATTATTTCCTATACATGAGGTACAAATACCGCTGGCCATTGAGCCTGCAAAATGGACAATCCTTTCCATTCAGGTAAGACAGCAATGAAGGTATAACCAAATGAAATAAATAAATAAAAATCTTCTGAAAACATTTAAAAACATTGTGGAGAAAGAAGTTGTGCTTTACAGCTGGAAAAATCGGGTTCATAACTGGGTAATTTTCCCAGCTTGCGGCTATTATCTACATCCCTGTTTCATAATACTCCTGAAGGTTATGTGACATGTGGTGGGCCTTTTGGGAGGTGGAACTGTGGGGGTGTGGAGGTGGCTTAATACTACAGAAAATGTAAACTGATTCTAGGAGTTAGAGTGGTCCTTCATAGGATTGTTGTTCATAACGGGGCTGACAATTTTAAATTTCAAGTCCAGGATGAGGTTGTCATTATTTCTCTGCTGGTGAATTCCTTTCAGGTTTTCAAAATGTCACTCAATACTACCAACAACAGTTCTTTTCAAGATTAGCCTTATTTATACAATCAGTTATTTATTACTGCATGATTTGATCACTTCTAAGATTTTACATATATTTAAGAAACTTGTTCATTTTATAGTAAGCAGACTTTCATCGATTTTAGGCTCAACTGCTGTTAGATAACTTGGTACAGCTCTGCACTCATAACCCTGGTTTGGCGCAAACGTCCGTTTGACAAAATGTCATCTTTGGAGAAGATGAGGATCCAGGGAATCCGTAGTTATTCCCATATGGAACCCAGTGTTATTGAGTTTCAGAAGCCTTTAACTTTGATTGTTGGACCCAATGGAGCTGGAAAGACGGTAACTTTCTTGAAGTAAATCAGCTATAAATGATCTAATGGAAATGAAGCTAGCAGTGGTTCTTCATATAATGCACATGATACCTTCCTGATTTAGCTTTTCATAATACTTTCTGCTGTCTTATATTTTATAGTCTGTTATAGAATGCCTGAATTACATGGCCACAGGAGATATGCCTCCAGGTGGCAAACAAAGTTTATTTGTTCATGATCCCAAGGTAATGTATTTAACCTTTGTTTTTGTGTGATGGGTGCAATTAACAGAAAACTGTCCACACATCTAGAAGAACGCTATTACTGATTAGAAGGACAATTGTCTAGCTGATTGGATTCGGAGTATATCTACACTCGTAGTCACTTTTACTGCTCAGATCGTTTTGGGTGGCTTTTGTTGGATATTAAACATGAACTTGATCACCTTCTCAAAGCCCTTTTTCATTTGAATGTTACATGATTGATATAATTAAACATTATATAATAATAATAATAATAATAATAATATACGTTAATTGAGGCTCCCCCATAAGGGCTTTTTCAGTAGTTTTAACTAATTGCTTAAAAATCCCCACTGGCTGGAGGCAACCAGTGGGCCATTTACAGAGTGTAGCCGAGGAGTTGAACTAGGGGCAACCGAGAACAAATCCAGTGAGTGGTAGGGTGGAGGACTTAAACCTGGGACACCAGATTTCAATTCCAGCACCCTTACCACTCGGCCACGCCGCCTCAGCTTTCTTATATAGTTTTCCATAATATATTGATTGGTAGACCTGTCAAAACATATTGCCTTCTAAAATGCCCACCTTAAAGAGTTTTCATGATGCAATTTTTGTCCTCCTAACTAAGGTTGCAGGTGAACAGGAAGTACGTGGGCAAATAAAGTTGAAATTCAAGGATGTTACTGGTAGTCCTATTGTTGTAACACGTACATTGGTTTCAGAACAAAGAGTATGTACTATTAAAATATTAATCAGCATTACCAGGGCTTGACACTAACGGTAACCCACTAGCCACTGATTAGTAGAAATTCAGTTTTGGCTAGTGGTTTTCAATTTCCGCCAGTCAGTTTGGCCAGTAAACAAACTGACATTGTCGTAACATCTAAGATGTCACAAGCCACTTGGCTAGTAAGTTGAAAAGTTAGTGTTGAGCCCTGATTACACAAGTTTGAAGATTTTAAAATTATGATCTTCTCAAACAGTTTTGAGTTTGTGGATAGAGAGACAGGTAGTTATTGATACACACAATGCCATTGCTGGCATTTAAAGTTGCCTGGTGTCATGAAATCAAGCATTTGTTTTTTCATAATAGGGCAAAAAGGTTGTAACAAGGACAATGGAAGGAAATGTCTTGAGGGAGGTCCACGGAGAGGTAATGTACACTGAACTCCCTGGGAAATTTTATACTTGAATTCTTAGTGTTTGCAATTCCTTCATTGATCAAAAAAAAGTTGCAAAAAAAAGTTTCTTTAATTTGAAATTAACACTCAGTGAATTTTCGTACAATGGTGAAAAACATCTTTTAATTGTCTTTGATTTATTGTTTCAGAGACGCAGTTTGAGTTCAAAGTGTGCTGATATCAACAGAGAGGTAAACACACACATGTAAATGTACGTAACCATTCTTGATGTTTTGTATTTTATGGTAAGTTACAGTAACTAGATAGTTGTAGTTCATTTTCTCAATTATAATAAATGATAACTAGTTCTGTGTAGCCTGCATGAATTTTTTTGTATGTTTTTTTCCAGATGATTTCATTTCTTGGAGTATCTAAAGCAGTGTTGGATAATGTGATTTTTTGCCATCAAGAGGAATCTAACTGGTAGGTAATTGACATAAGGTTTTATTAAGCACCTCAGTTTACCAGTCTGAGAACTTAATTTTTAAATGATAGCTTTTACACTTGTTGTATTACACTGTTTTGCATTTTCATATTAGCTAAAGCTTATGAATGATTTTATTGCCAATTGATGTTAATAAGTATGTGCATGTTGTGATTAACTGAACTTATTCCTATATATTTTCCCTATTATTGGACAAGAGTCTAATTACTGATTAGGAAAACATGAAAATGTATTTTTCTTAATTACAGGCCACTTAGTGAAGGAAAAGTGCTCAAACAAAAATTTGATGAAATCTTTGCTGCCACAAGGTATACATGATTACCATACATTACATTTTAAATACGTGTACCTCATATGGCTGAATATGTTTTTAAGGTTGAAGTGTTTGCTCATCCACAGGGTAGCTTAATTACTGAATGTATAAATGTACTTACAGTAAATGAAAACATAGTAAGTGTCTTGTAGCAAGTTAATTTACTTTTAAATATAAGTATTGGAATTTTCTTACAATGCTAAGTCTGTTAATTTTAATATTTTCTGGAAAGGCAATCGAATAAGGAGGTATTAATTAGAGAAAATGATTTTTATTTTTGTTTAATCTACATGTTTATTAGATACATAAAGGCTTTGGAGGCAATTAGAAAATTTCAAAAAGAACAGGTTAGTTTGTTTCCTATGGATAAGGGCCATTCCAACAAAACAACAGTTAACAATACATATATACCACTAACAGTCCGTTGATACACCACTGATACTCTTGACCGATATGCTGCTGACAGTATACTGACCAAGTATTGCCTGATCATGGCAACTGGGGGTTTACCAACTTGAATGACATGGTGATTGACAGTTGGTCAACATATCATCTGAGTATCGACTGGCACTCAGGAGACATGTTGACCAATACTTTTGGTTGATACTCAGTTGGCAGATGCCTTGAGTATACCTGATGTGCAAAATAATGTAAAATGCAACCTTGATTCTCACTGACTACCTTTGCTTGCCCTTTTTGGTTCTCCTGTTATTTCAAAACTATACATTCAGTCATGTGGAAGTGAATTTCTGGTAGATCACATACAAAGGAAACTAGATAGCCAATTTTACACCTGTTACACATACTGGAAGAATTCTTGGTGTTTGTATAATTATTCACCTACAGGTTCAAACTGTGAAAGAATATTCCATAGAGCTTGCTCATTTAAAAGCAAATAAAGACAAGGCAGACCAGGTATTAACTCTATTTTTCAAATTTTATTTATTTTTATTGTGCAACAAAGTTTGAGATGTTTTAGTGTATACACAGGACATAGTTATTGGTCTATTTCATCTGAATCTGAGGCTTTCTTTTTGTTTTGTTTTTTTCAGTTTCTTAATA